AAGTTGCATTTAAGAAATTATATTTAAGTTTTGATAATTTTATACACCTGAAGATGGTTCGTTTAGAACTGAAACATGTCGTGTAAAAAGTAAAAAGTGATGTTCTAATGTAAATCGAACATATCGATAGAGAACATCATTTTAATATATTTTAAATATTTAAATGTTAATTATAGTAATATTTTAATATTTAATAGGAATTTTATTGTGATGAGACTGACAAGATTTAAACAAATATATATTAAAGTAAAATTATAACTGTTAAATTCCACTTTCTTAAAAAAAAATCATTAACTATTTATTCTGAATTTATGGATTTGGTTTGAATATCACGATAAACACGAATTATTTCCTTGATTTTTCTAACGGTGAAGTGTAGTGTTTACTTCGCGGTACGGACTGAATTCTTAAATATTATTCGAAAGATCTGAAGTAGTTATTTTATTTTCTTGGTGACTTCGTTGGTATTTTGTTTGAGGCATTGATTTTATGTAGTGTCTGAACAAAAATTTTCTTCTATTCGGTATAAATACTTCCATCAGATTGCACTCATTATACATCTACAAAAAGTAAAAGCCTAATATCTTGGTTACGCCTACAAAATTATCAGTACATATGACTAATGCTGCAAGCTACTTATTACTCTTTAAGTAATTTGAACGCTGCAAACTCTATTTAGCTTTTGTTTTTGATTAATATTCTGTTGGTGTTGTTTAACATTTGTGTGACAACTGACACGTGAGAAATACCGCAGAAGGCGGGTTAATTGCTTTATCAATAAAGCTTTCTGAGTTCAGAAAATAGATTGCAGTAGTCTCAAATAGGCCAGTAAAAAAAGATACAGATCAATTGGAAATAGTTTGCTATGTACCTTCTCTTTGATTATGTTTAGAAAAGTCAAACAACAACAAAAAATTTCAGTGAAATTGGTCATATCTGAAAGGAAGTAATAAATTAGAATGTCAAATTAATAATATTTTTCTTTGTGTTTTACGTGTTAAAATACATGCAAGAAAACCATTTGTTTATATGTTTCTAGGGACATAAACGCTCGGATTGAACGTTTGTCTCCTCCCCAACACCTCGACCAAATAGCAGTGACATTATCAAGCTGTTTTATGCGTTAAACAAACTATCAAAATGGGAATTATTTCTGTAAGTAAAAAGTAAAGCGTCCCACTAACGCCATTCAGGCGTTTGGGGGGAGAGAGGGTATAGCTCCAACTCATTCTTGACCTCAGCACTTGGGGTGAGTGGTCAGCATCATGCCCTGGCTGCCCTTTACCCCCGGGAAAGGACCCAGGTACCCATTGGATAGGAGGCTGGGTGGGCCCCAGAGCTGGTCTGGATGCAGAGGCTAGAGGAAAATTTTTCCTGGAGTGGTTGAAGAAAACCTCAGCCAAGATTGCCTGTCTCCTGGAAGAGATTTGAAGTCAGTATCACCTGTGTATGAAGTATGGATGCTAATTACTTTACTACAAAATTAATTTGGTACAGGTGTGCCAGATATATCAGGCACTGAAGGATAACCTGTAAGTTACGTAATGTTTAGGCATCCTGTCTGGTTCTTCTGAATTTGGGCTATGATGGTCAAACTCACCTTATCTGATGCCGATTGTATCAGTGTTTTGACATGTGATATTTGGCATGGTGAAGCTGTTTCTGCTAACACTGGTATTGTTCTGCCACTGCTGTTGATAAGGCCAAGATCTCTGCAAATTTCCTTTGTGTGGTTTGTTGCAGGGAGGGAACAATGCTGGGCACACTGTTGTGGTTGATGACCGTGAATATGACTTCCATTTACTGCCAAGTGGGATCATCAATCCCAAGTGCAAGAGCATCATTGGTGAGTACATTTCTCGCTAATAAATAATACGAGGTCTGCCATAAAAATAACGAGACTGATGCTGTAAGTAGGCAAACAATTATGGTGAGGGCGACATAAGCAGACCATATTTGACCCTGATCTGTCCTCTACCAGTGACGCAAGTTTCAACGTATTTGCTTCACTCATTAGCAGTGGACGAGTGTTTTTGTACAGACGTGTTTTTACCCTCTGCCGGAAAATGTCTGACTGCAAAAGTGAACAGCGAGTTAACATCAAGTTAATCTTAATCTTAAAACTTTGCATACCGTGTAGTGTATTAGAATATAGAGTGAACAAAACCAACAACTATTAACACTATAATGGACACTTGCCATACACGTTTCGACCTCAAGAGGTCATCATCAGTGGCATCAGGGATCCCTGATCGTAGTTGATTTTCTGAATTTGTTAAATAAAAAGAGTTACAGGCACAGTCTCATTTTTTTTGGTGTCAGACCTTGTATATCAGAGCATCACTGTGATTGCTACAAATGAAGCTCATGTGTGAACAGGCAATGGAGTGGTGGTCCATCTGCCTGGCCTTTTTGATGAGCTGCAGAAGAATGAGGCCAAGGGGCTCACAAACTGGAAGGACCGCCTGCTGATCTCTGACAGGGCTCACATTGTGTTTGACTTCCATCAGGTAAATATTAAACATCATATGTTTGTATGTTGCGTACATCATGGAGCCTCTACTGGGTGGCTTGGTCTGTGTGTTGCAGCAGGTAGATGGTCTGCAGGAGCTGGAGAAGGGGAAAAAATCTCTTGGCACAACGAAGAAGGGCATCGGGCCCACATACTCATCTAAAGCCACACGTAATGGGATCCGTATAGCTGACCTTCTTGGGGACTACAGCCAGTTTGTGGAGAAGTACATAACGCTTTGTGTTGGAAAGCTTGCTGATTCTGGTTGTTTCCTTCGTAAAATATGATTTACTCTAATAATTGTTCCAGAATAGGTTCAGATAAATTAAATGTTATTGTAATCCCTCGTATGTTGCGTTACAATCAACGTCATTTTGGAAACTGGCTCTGTTAGATGAGCTAGTCTCCATCACTGGAACAGTGATGGAAACTAGCTCTATCTGACGGACCCAACTGAGCAGGTACCTCTCACCTGAAGACGGAAACATGGCCAGTTTCCGAAGCTTCACTGTTTCTTTCTTTTAAACGAGATATGCAAAAAGTCCAGATACTGAAGAACACATAAAGTACTTTAAATTCAGTGTTGAGTTTGAAACGGTTTTTTTAGACTCTTCTCCACAGTTAATATTTTACGAGCACTCCGATGAAAGAGTGGAATTCTTTGAAACATCATTATTCTTTATAGTAATATTAGGTAATTACTTAACTAACTTTGATTATGAGTATTTTGCTGTATTTGTAATTATGGCAACTTTTTCTCCTTCCTTCCTTCTTATTTCTTTCTTCCTCCTAAGACTTTCACTTCATCTGTGTCTTCCCACAGTTCCTTTACCTACTTATTCAAGCCTCTTGTTTATTTTCTGTTCTAGGCTATTGGGGTATCCAAGATTTTCCCCATTCCTTACTAAAATTCAGGTGGTGCCAAAGATCTGTGTTTTTTTTGTGTTTGCTCTTGGTGAAGTTAACTTCTGTGATTATTCTACCCTCATCTTTCAATTTACTTTTTACACTTATTCACTACATCAGATCTATCAGCCATGGTGTAAAGAATAGAACAGTGGTCATTATAATATTTATTTCTATCATTATTTCAGTACAGTTTATGAGCACTTTTAGTAACTTTATAAAAACATATATATGCCAGTATTTCAGTAACTTTATTTTCTTGTTTTATGGGAATGTGTATTCGTAAGGTTGTCATAATAAATAAGCAGTGTCATTATTCTGATGCAGTATATTTTTAGAATGACTTATTTTGCTAGTCAGTGGGAAATATGAGAAGGTACTGATAGCATGGGGCCTATTTTGCCTCTTCACTTTTAGATTTCAGGGTTTGGCAGCAGTGTATCAGCGCATGTTCCCAGATCTGCAAGTTGACGTGGAAGCAGAACTAGTCCGATATAAAGCATTTGTTGAGCGAATTCGACCGTATGTAGTGGAGTCAGTGTCTTACCTTCACTCTGCTCTTTGGAGCGGCCAAAAAGTGCTAGTAGAGGGAGCAAATGCAGCCATGCTTGACATAGACTTTGGTGTGTATTGCCAGCCTGCCCTTTGATTATGGTAAGCCTTGCTTATGTTTGTTATAACACTACATAACCTCCACTGTGAATTTCAGGAACGTACCCTTACGTCACCTCATCCAACTGCAGTATAGGAGGGGTCTGTACTGGTTTAGGGCTGCCCCCATGCAACATTGGTGAAGTAATTGGCGTGGTGAAGGCATACACTACCAGAGTGGGCGATGGCCCTTTTCCCACTGAACTGTTGGATGTGAGTTCGTGGTACTGATGTCATGTCGTTTGTTGCATTTGTGTGTGCGTGGAAAGAATTTTTGTTCCTGCTGTGTGTGGCATTTTGCAGGCTACTGGAAATCTCCTGCAGACTCGAGGCAGAGAGGTTGGCGTGACAACCAAGAGAAAGCGGCGTTGTGGTTGGCTTGACCTGGCACTACTCCAGTACACAACCATGGTGAACGGGTACAGTGCGTAAGTAAAGCCTAGTCTTGTGTTGCAAGCTTTAGTGTGCCCAGTGAGTGCCATCTTAAAATATTAAGTGTAACAGGTGTCATTGTAGAATTTGTCTGATGAAGAAATTTTTAAATAAGAACATGTTTTAAGAAAAATCACTATTTTGTGTTATACCAGAACTTCAGGGGTTTGAACAAGTTTCCCACCTCTGTATGACTTGGAATGCACTGCAAAGTTCAGAATATTAAATACAAATGATTTTGGTATTACAGAGTTATTATCTTCAGTGACATACTCCCCACCTCTGCAGATTTTCATGTTTCATAAATTTGTATCTGTTGCAAATGCCCTTACTTTCTTCTGGGGTTGGAGTAAAATATGATGGGAAAATGTCAGTAGTGTGTGTGCACGCATGAGAGAGAGTCAGAAAAGTAGGTACAAGAGAAATGGAAAACATGGCTGCATCAACAATACTTGGAGTAATCTGGAAATTGCATGGTATATCTGATATTACATCTGTTCACTGCCTTGTCAAAACAGTGTTGTTGCAATCTTGTCCACTGCTTTTCTAGGTTGTGTGTAACCAAGCTGGACATCCTCGATACACTGGCAGAGATAAAAGTGGGCATATCATACAAAAGCAAGGGCGAGAAGCTCAACTATTTCCCATCCAACACTGCAGAACTTGCAGGTGTAGAGGTATGTCCTAACTATTCTGTTTGACGTTGTGCATGTGTGGAGTGTCGGTATGGGCTACAGTGTCAATATGACTGTTTTCAGGTGGAGTACATCACTCTGCCTGGCTGGCAGACAAGCATAGAGGATGTTCGAGATTACGAGAAATTGCCACACAATGCGAAGAAGTACATTCAGATGATAGAAGAGCATATCCAGGTGCCTGGTATGTATGTTACTCTGTCATTCTATAACATGATTGATTCTTATACTTTGACTGCCAGGTTCAAAACCTGCAACTGTGGGAACAATTTAACATGTTGCAGTGAAGTGGATTGGTGTCGGAAAAGATCGTGAGTCCATCATCAACGTGTACTAGCACATCTGGCTGGAGCACTCTCGCCATCTTCACAAGTAATGTTGGAAGCCTTTCTCTGAATACCACCGCCTGCAGGCCAGGCCGCTCCTGTGATGGTAATGCATCAATCCTCTGAAATTTTGGATGTTTTAACCCTTCCCAAGCAGTATAAATTTGTATCCAAAATTAGTAGCTGTGTGCTGTTTACATTTCTTAAGTTTGAATCTCAAGAATAATCATAAATAGTTTATACAGTACCTAGCATTGTTCAGTGTTCTATATTTATAGGCATTTATCTCAGTAAAGGATGATCTGTCATTTACATTATTACACATATTATTATTATTATATGCATTTTTTTTGCAAGCACACATACAAATAATATTTTGATAAATTTTTATGTGGATATTATCTTAATGGGGGACACAGCCAAATTTTCATTTATCTACTCCATTATTTCAATGTGGCCACCCCAAGAGTTTTGTGGGTGGGAGCATTATCACCAGAACCCAGGGTTCTGAATATTTGTACAGTTTTAGATGTTTGAAAGTTATAATGCACAAAGTGACAACCAGGAGAAACATTAATTGGTAGGTTTCATGCTGACAACTCTTGAACTATTATAGCTAGATATGTGAACTTTTCTGATGCTTTGTGGTATACATCCATACAGATTTGTTTCAAATACTTTCATCTCTACTTAAAAGTACGAACATGGCGGAGCTGCAAAACTTTTTAGAAATGTTATGTGCTGGAAATATATGGAAAGGAAAATGTCTTGCCACAAAGAACAGGGTTTGAAGCTGTACTCCATAAAGTAGTGTACCTTCCTGTCATGTCTTATGATATGAAGAATCATAAGTAGATGAATGTTTATTGGTTTCTGTGCACAGTACCTAGTAATTTTTGGATGTGTGGTACATCTCGAAACAGGAATGAATTGTATATCCATTCAAGTGTTGCAGCAGTATATGGTCTCGTTTGGTGGCTCTGGCCATGTTTTCCTTTCTTATTTGTTGTCTTTCACTCAGCCCCAGCTTTTTCTCAGGAGGGCCAATGGATGGTCTACTTTATCCTGTACAGTCTCCAGCCTCTGATCATGAGACAGACAGTGATGACTTTTCTTCCTTCTGCACTGATTCATATAACAAATATGAATTGTAACACTGACCTCCAGTAGCCAGAAGAATGCCTTCATCTACCACTTTTAATTTCTTCTGAGGAATTGATACAGTGGTCACTCTAGTCCACACCTCCCATACGGTTTTTACACTGGAGAGGCATTGGGGTAGTATGTGGGAGTAGCTGTTGATATGTCATGCTTGCTTTCCGTGTGAAAAGTGCCCAGCGCTGTTCCCCTTTTCTTCCACATACATGCATGCACAAAGGTGCCAGTCTTTTTCTGTTTCTAAATGCCAAAACATCTCTGATCTTCATTTTTATACCTTTCTTGATTTCAACTGGTGTAGCCTTCCAAGAGGCTGTTTCTGTCCTTGTCATCATGTTCACTCCCAACAACCCATCGGATAGTTCTGTTGATGCGTGATAGCTGTCTGTGTAACTGGCAGCATGATGATTGAACTCTAGGATCCTTTACTGAGATGAACTCATCTTTCATAATACGTGTGGTTTCCAGTAGGGTGTTGGGGTTTGATTTCGTTTGTACCAGCATATGGCTGGAAATTGTGAACATACCCGTAGTAACTGTCTGATAATGTGAACATTTTACTGGTTTCATCAGGTTACTCACTTTGAAAAGCTGCCTTTCGCTCGAAAGAAACTACTTTCACGGCCTGGAGTACAGTTCAACATGCATTTTGATTGTATTGTGTTCAGACTGGCTTTCCCCATGACATTCTCTTCAGCCATGGCAGATGTCTCATATTTGTAACATAACCAACTAGTGCCTTCATATCTATCTGTAACAGAACTCTGCCTCCTTGTGACATCGTGGCTCACTTTGTGTTGGGACTTCGGTTTATAATATTGCCATAGAAAGTTGTTTCGTTGGTAATAAGGTTGAATAAATTCTGATTGAAAATAATTTAAAATATTCAGTCAGTTCTGTATTAGTGTCTGTAGCCTTCACATCATTACACCCTCTTGGTAGCTGGAGCCACTGGCCTGTCACGTGCTGACTGTCTGATGTGCTACTGTTGCATTCATTTTCTTCATATTTGCCAGTTTCACTGTCCCTTTCACCATATTGTAATTCTGAAAGATTGTCATCCACACAGTCAAAAACTGAACTATAACACCATCATTAATGGCTATATTTTATGCCATACTGCATTCTAGGAGTCATGGAAACTAAAAGGTTTTTTCCTGCAGAGTTTGTCTTCAGAATATGTCTTAAGAGTTCAGTAAACTGACACATAGACTGCAGTAATGTATGCCTGTGACATATGCAGAATCAACACAATATCATAAAGAAAAAAGGTGTTTTGAATTCCGAAATACTGCATGTGTTGATGGTGTGGGGTTAGGTACGTATTTGGATATTGCTTGGGAAGGGTTTTGTACAGAATTATGAGGACCAGGATGGCAGATCTGTTTCCAGCAGAAACTATTTTGTGCTAATGAGCACATGTAGTGTAATCCTTAGGTGCAATTGTTTTCACTCTGCTTGCTTCTAGTGGTGAGGGACTTGCACAATGTTGCTATTTATTTGTTTAGAGTTATGAACAAAAGCAAGATCTGATCAGTTGGTTGGTAGCAGTTCATGTTGTGTGTCATTATTGTAATGACTGGAGTCATATTGTGACTGTTATTAGGGTAATGGTCTCCTGCTTTAGATATTGTTAGGTGGGGGAAAATATGCCAAAGAAATTGTAAATATCTGAGCATGATGTCTTGCTGTACAGTGTTTTTTTGATTTGTGCATTGTGCTGTACCCATAAACTGAGAATTCTCTTGGCTGTCTTCTGGGTTTTAGCACATGTAGTCAGGTAGAAGTTTACCAGTATTTCAGACAGAGGGCCATTATCAGGTACCAGACTACATGCTGCTACAACTCATAAGACAGGCATATTTGTTCTCACCATAAGAACTTCAAATCCCACTGTGAATTCTGTTGCTCGTGCATTTAATATGTTATGACAACAGATGTGCAGTCGAAGGCCTTCAGATTTTATTTGATTCAGAACAAAAAAAAATAAACATCCCATCCATAATTTATATTTGCCCACAGTTTAATAAATACCCTTTTTCAGTCCCAATGATTTCTGTATTTTTTTGATGCATTTAATTCTTGTCTAAGTATAATGAATATGCCTTTTCTCACAGTAATATCATTTTCATCTGACGAGAGTATTATTAGGTTTGCTGTTTAATATAATCACTGAATTTCAACATAAGTTGATCTGCTTCAAGGGTGAAGTCAGCTTATGGGTACAACAGAATCTGGTGTGAATGTATTGCTGGGTGATTAGCTCTCCCGACTGTATTTTTAGCTCCGTTTGAGTTACGTCTTCCCAACAGGGGCAGCCTCATCATGTCAGGTGCGCACAGACTGTTGTAGCATTCTGTCATTTACATCCATCAGGACTGTTGCTTGTATGTAAGTTGTGAGATACCAATACAATGGCTGTTCTTCCCTGTACTCACACTTGTTTACTATGTTCTGATTTCCTCACCCTCCAGACATTTACACTTTCTTGTCTTCTGACCTTTCACCCTCCTTTTCACCTGAAGCCACTTCTCTTCTGTTACTGGTTGTGTCACTTATCTTGATCTTTACAGTATAAGACATTACTCTGCACTTTTGATTTATTGTTTCATTATTCAAAACTTGTATGGGATCAGTTGTGATTTTTTAAAAACATGCAAGACTGACTGGTAGACATGTTCAGCCCTTTCAAGTATCATACATATTTAACATGTAGAAAAAAGATGTCTTAAATTTTCACCATGAGAAATTGGCCACAAATCATTATTTTCATTGTATCGGTATACCATACAGAAAATGTGTATAGTCAGAACACTTTGCAATTTTCTGTCAAGAATTTGGGAAGATGAATAATGTTATAATGCCATATACAAATCGGCATCAGCGTTCTACCACTTCTAACAAGAGATAAATGACTCAAGTGACTGATTTTAGGGGATTCATATGTCCACATTTCACACACACTGCTTGAGTTTGAAATAGAATGACAAAGTGACCACTGGAAATCACTTGCAATGCAATTCTGGAAATTTATTGTTAAGAACCATCAGTGTTATTTCCACAGCCAATCCAGTTTCAAAACTATACTGTCTGAAATGTGCAAATATAAAAATTATTATAGTACATGAACAAATAAATGAAACACACTGTATTTACAATGTTAGATGGGATGCAAAGTCATCAAACAAAAGGTTCTTAATAAAGTGAAAAATGGAAACACAAAGGCACACTACTCTATAAGTTTCTTGGCCTTGAAGAAACGTCGCAGGTAGAGTACCTGCCATGTGGCCAGTCCAAGGAGACAACACATGCTGAAGATGCTGAAGTACAACACACGGTTGTTTGTTGACTCTGAAAACCAAACATTGCACAAACAGTTTAGTAATGAGATCTGCACTTGATGTCTAATGCAGATTACAGGCCAAGTCATTTTTTGAGAAAATTTACAAAGGTTTGCCTTGAAGTTCACAAGAGATACTGATAGGACTGGTAACACAACTAAAAGGGAAACATAATCTCAAGTCTTCATCTTACGCACGCTACGCAAAAAACATGAAAATGTGTATATTATATGTTAATCTTCTATAATGACATCAAATAGAAATTCCATGTGCTGGTTCGCAAGAAAAGTATGTGCCAATAATACATCAATTCTGTGCAATGAACATATGATGGAAAATGGTCAAGCAAGCAGAATGGTGTGGTTGCTCAACTCAACAGTTGAGCAACCAGAAGATATTTGGCCCCTTTAATCATTTCTATAAATTAAATTACATTCCAATGTGGGTTTGTAAATGTTCATGTAACAACAATGCTGTCTCACCATTGGTGTCTCGCATCTCCTCCTCACGTTTTCTCATCTGTGAAAAATCCTGCACAATGGCATCTGATAGATCTTCCAGGCGTTTGAGTTCAACCTCCAGAGGCTTCAGTTTTGCAGCTTCGCCAAGCTATACAGAACACAAACAACTCTTAATGTACGAGATTCTTAAAACATTATTGGCGTGGCCTTGGTGTGACTGGTGTTTAGATATAAGGGAAACATACTATTTGCAAGTTCTTTGATGTATGACCAGTACAATGCAGCTATTTTCAAGCTGGAATGGTTCAGAAGAGTCCAGAATGACATTGAAATACTGGGGGTCTTTTTCCTTAGAGCCACAGCTGCCAGAGATGTAACTGGTCATTCACCATGTCTACAGGAAATGGAAATTTACCTCCATATCCTCTGTATTCTTCATGGTATGGTGCCAAGACTTTCGTACTACAAGGCAGATATGCCATGCTCCTGAGCACTGCAGCTGATGTGGAAGTATCACAAAATAAGAAGACTACATCCCCTGGTAAGTTGAAGTTAATTTTCCCCTGCAATTCTGCTTACCTTATTTTATAGTAGAGTTGAAGTGCTCACCTGCTTCTGAGCAGGCCTTGCACCTTCTGAAAATATTTCTCGACACAATGGACATTGTCTTGAAATATTAGCACTTTCTCTTCAAATATTGTCTTTCATTTCTTGCAAATAACGAGGGTAGTCCACATAATGTCTTACAGTGTCTGTCTGTCTGTCACAAACAAACGCCACATACTCCAAATCTGGAGACAATCCGTAAGTTATAAACTGAAGATTTCTGCCTTCTGGGTTGTGCCATGTAGTATGGTGGTTGTATGGTAAACATCGACCAGACTACACGGCGCAACAACCCAGAAGACAGAAATCTTCATACTCACCGCTGTGAAAACCTAAAATCATTCAAGTTGTAAACTGTTTGCCAAATACCTCTTCCAAAGCAGTCAATTTAGAAATTTACTGTGTGGACCATGGCATTGTCCTACATGAAGCAACTAAATTTTCTCTTACGTTTATTCTCTGAAGAATGGTGTCAATGAATAAGCGTAACAGTTGGAATCTTTTTCTTAAACAGTCCATATGATTTTGCATGCACTCAATGCACTGTTTTTCTGTGACACTGGCCAGTTCTAAGAGTTGAGGCTTTTGAAACCCCACTTTGAAGAGCCACACAGGCACAAAAATTTGTGATTGCCTATGAGCACAATTGTCATTAAATTACTCTTCAGTGTTCATATTTTCTTTCGCTTCAGCCCTGGACCTGTCTTTTTTCAAAACCTATGGTAACATTTTTTTTCTCCCATTATGTATACTTTGCAAATGAAAACATTTCACAAGTGCACTAAGACTACCAGCACTCTAAACAGATGACTAAGTGCCCACAGCTTGATTCAAATTTTGTCAGTGATAGTACACTGAATATGTTGGCTAGTGAGCATGCACAAGCCAAAGCAAGGGACACAGTAAATCTACTGCTCTGTATTGTCCTGTCTACATCCTGCTTTTCTTAGTGGTCTCTTCCTTGTGCATATTCCACTGCAAGAGCAAGAGAGTAAAAGTATGTCTAGTTGCAAAAAACAGCATATAGGCCCTGAGGTCAGTGTGCAAGTTAAAACTTAGCAGAATACACAAATTCTGAAATTAACCAAAACATGCTCCAACTGGTCCATGACAGGTTAAAAATGACTGGCACCAATGTACAAATGTTTTAGTCTTTGTTATTAGAACTCATACATGTCCAGTGCTAAGCTGTTTTGTTGTTACTGGTAAGCTGCAGCCATGCACAAAACCACAAACGGAAAATAAAGGAACTTTACCAGCTGTAGGCAGGCCAGTCACGAACCACCCCAGAAAAAAGAAACATATAATAAATTTCACAGTCTTTGCTTCAGTAATCTTTCAGATACATTTGAAAATATTTTATTCAGGGACCATATTACAATCATCAGTGTGCTTAAATTTATGACAGGAAAAGCATTTTACTTACACCCTCGTAGTTCTTTGCTTCAACGCCCCTCTTTGTGACCAAGGACACCTCCTGTGCATTGCCCCTCTGTTCTGTTATCAAAACATTTAACATTTATAAAACAAGTAGATATGAAACAGGGACAAGGAGCTTGTACAAACACAATTCACGCTCCTTTTCTCACTTCAATGCACAGTCATCCTGAAGAATGTCCCTCTTATACCCACATAACAAATAATTACAATAATTCTAAAAGAAAGAATAAGTGCACAATTATGAATCTTTCAGGCAATGCCACTTTCACTTCCATGAACGAGTTATTTTCACAACTGTTTCAATACTTACGTGGCGGAACTCGAGATGTGAAGCATATCTCAAAAGTGTCATAGTTTTCAGTAACAAATGAAAACTTTCCTCTGGAAATGTCTTCCTTTTGTGACAAAATATGGCCCTTTGAGTCTCGTACCTAAAGAAATTAAATGAACACAATGCAATGTCTATACAAGATGTGCACATCAACTATTACAAAATTACACACATGGACAAGATATGTGCAATCCATGAATCCAGATGTTCAGTCAGTAAAAGTGGTATTTTGGACTTAGTCCTTCCTCTACATTTCAGTAATGCACCTTCAGACTTCAGTTCAAGATATGGCCCAAATCATGAGCAAGATACATTACAAAAGACCCTAATATACGTATCATATTTATACCAAAATAACTGACCCACATTATGGCCAGTTTAATGTATTATAGCGGTTACAGTTGCTAGTATAAATTCTCATAGTACATACTACATAATCCACTTTTTGCCCTGGTGCGTCCTGAACCTCATAATCACCGGTTACAAGAACATCAGATTGCAGTTCCTCTTTCAGGCATTTTTGTGCATTCGGTTGTAGTTTCCACATAATTCCATCCACGTTGATAATTAAAACAGCAATCACCGTAATTATTTGAGCTGTGAAATCCATCTCCACGAAAAGTCAATATTAATCTGTATAATAGTCAAACATGCATATGATATACTGATTACAATTACATCAAAGATGTAATGCTGTACATAACGTAATACACCTAATACAAATACGATGAGATGGCAGCCATTGATCTAACGGATCCAACGTCACTTCCACATTACCGTGGTCGCTTTCTGCAACATTGCCAGTACATGCATGCTGTTTTGCATGTATGTATCAGACAATGAGCAAGAAAGCTAGGGTATAAAATTGATACCAACACTGCAGTGAGAACGAGCGGGTTCAGCCGTTTTGAACGTCGTAGCAGTATACGTATAGCCCATAACATATAAGAGGGAAATTCAAACATTATATGTATGCCCACGATATGGTACTGACATCATTATAGTTCTTGCAGGCTGTATTCCATAAAATAACCAGATGGATACAATAATCACCTCCACGAATAAGAGGAAGGGCGGCAAGGTGGCAGAGAATGCGCAATTGAGGTTGCATCATCATACAATTACGTGAGAATTACCCTTCATATTTAACGTATATCATTCTCAATACACACCAAAGAATATTAACCGTGATAACAGTCACGCCTTTCTCTGTCGTCACTAACTTGCTGCAGGAGATGCCAGTTTTCTATTATATGGTAAAATAAAAATAACGGGTATTTTGTGATATTCTTAACAAGATCAGAAGTATTTCCTTTTGGCGGGGGATTCAAGAGTATGTTTTCGGACACGGAACTCGGTTAATGATTGTGTATAATCAAAGAAAACTGACACACTGACGTTCAAATACCTAGCCTCCTATCCGGATGCTTTCCTGGTGGTAAAGCATGGTCGGGGCATAATGCTGACCACTCTCCCACATCTCATGCCGAGGTTAAGAATGAATAGTAGATCCCGTTTCTTCCCCCAAGCGCCTCCATGGAGCATATCGGGACAGCTTTATTTTATACATTTATTAGGATACCTTGAAACGGTTAGTTGCCCAAACCCAGTTGATTATCGCAAGTCAACTTTCATGTCATCTTTGATATCTACTTAGAAAACAAAATGGCTCCATTGTAATGACTCTCATTAAAATAGGAGTGAAAGAGCAAGTTGTTACAGTGATGTAATAGTATTCAATTTTGCATGTCAGTAAATACAATCAGAATAATCAAGCTAAGCAAGTGTTTGCGTATTCATTTGACGAAGTCATCATGGGCGAAAACGACAGAGAAAATATCAGTGGACGTATCAAGAGGTTGGGATTTAAGCCTCAAAGAGAAATTGTGTATTGTAAACTTTTACCTTATGCGAATCAACTTGATGAAGAATCAGTTCGCATGTTGTCGGAAATTAAAGCTAACTTGGGAAGAGCAGTGATGATGAGAGAAATGCGACCAGGATGTGGAATGTGGACAGCTAGATTATCTAAGTATGATATAATTCCTATTATAAGTAATAAAAAATATTTATCATACTTCGGTGAACATGTAATAGGTACATAAGTGTTCCTGTAATGAATTACCTTCTTGTTAGGAATTACAATGTGTTTGAATTTTGAAATGCTATATCTAGGTGGATATTTTAAAGGCATGCATTTTATGTCACTGGTTTGGTTTTGATTTTATCATGGCATCTATAGCAATACTGGGACATTGGAATTTTTGTGTTGACGTACTTTCTCTGCTGATTCAACTATGGTACTACTGTAAGGAAAGTTTGCATGTTTAACAGTGTACTGAGCTTCTGTCTTTAGGTATGTGAAGTTGTATGGGATGAAGTTTTCTAAAGAGGACCACCTGAACTTCATTCATCTGATGTATCAGTTAGTCACAATTCCTAACTTGGAGCCATGGCTGGTCAGCAAATTCAGTCTGGCATTGATTATTCTTCTGAAGTGAGTAAACCCATGTGCAAAAGAAGAGTTTCAGCATGTACTTCTTTATTCTCTGGTGCTTGACAAACAGTTTCCCTTCATCCTGTATGCACTAAATTAAGGACCTGTGCTACATTCTGTTGGCAGGAAAAAGGAGCTGATTTCTCCAGAGGAACTGGAGCTCCCTTGGAGACCTCTGTATGACCTCTGTAAGCGGATCATGTCCACCGGTCCCGTGGCTGTCGGCATGTACCGCTGCTTCTCGTAAGTTGCAATCCTTTTTTTCCGTAGTATACTGATTGCAGCTCTTGTGATGAGACAAGGTTAATGCAGTTTTACATCTTTGTGTTTGTGGAGCGCATGTTATAGCAAGCACTTTTCCTGTCCATATTACTTCATGACTGGAGTTCAGCAAACAATTTCAGCTTTTGAGAATGAGCTTTGTTGAATGTTGAAAGATATCCAGCATTTTGACAAGCAACATTTGGTGTGGCTTATCCCCAGAAGCTGAATTTGCACATCAGGGACCTTTGGCTGCTGTGTTGCAGTTTGGTCACTGATATTGAGACATTTTTACATAAGTAGCTTCTGAAGCTGTGCTGATATGTCTGTTTCTCATACTGACAGAACAGACTTTATGCAGGTTTTTTATTCTTGTATTTGGGAACATCCTGAATGAAGTGAGCCTCACCTTTTGATGCTTTCAATGTTGCAGGTCTCTAGATGGCACCCTGAACAAACTAGTACACGCTGCCAGACAGTAAGTAGCAGATTGTTTCATTGTGATAAGGGAGTATGAAAGTTATGTCAATAAACCTTATTTTTTTAGACTTTATTAGAAAAGTAGTGAAAGTATGTGACTAATATGAAAGAGATTACACATTGTGAAGAAAGTATGAAGTTTAGATTTGAGACAAGTTAGTCTTTATGATGAAGACCAATTTATGAAGCTATTTAAGCTGTTTAACTCTTTGTTGTGAAAGTTTATTTTAAGTAACTCATAAATGTTCAGTTTAATCTCAAAGAAACCAGTGCGTTTCCATTACTTGGATCAGCCAGTTGATGCTGTTAGGGAAAAATCACTGTTTACACTCAGTATTATATGAAACCTATAACTACGCTCGGTGGAAAGGGATGCAGAATTATTGATTGTTAAGGAACTGGGTCTCAAAATATTAATACAGTTTTTTGAAGACCAAGACAGTTATTAGTGCAAACAATGTTAAAATAGAAACTACATTTTCAACTCTTTCACATGTGGCTATATGACCTATTATAAATAAAGAATACACAGAGATAATTGATTATGATTTATGTTGCAGCTATTTCCCTGCCTCAGCCACTCAGGAGATACTGGACTTGTTCCGACCCCAGCTATGCCCCTTTGACTCGGGCTCAATATGCACTGCACTGGAAATGCTAGAGTGGTTTCTCCCCATTGCACTGTCTCCTGAAAAGAGCTGCCTGGGGCACCAGCTATGGTTTCATGAGTTTATGAATTTGTGGGAGGTGTGCCACAATGCACCTGCCTGGGAAGGGGCCATGATGTGGCTCATGGCACGGCTGGCATGGTGGAACATTGGCTACATTGACTGGGAGCCACACATCCCGGTGATGTTCACCAGGTTCTTGCGCAGTCTCAATCTCCCTGTCTCTTACAAGAACATGCAGTCTTCCAAACATCACAAACTGGACACTTCAGCCATAGCACTCTGGATCGTGTCTGTGTTGGTGTGTGGCAACGTTGTAGTAATTTTTAAAGTATTGTTATTGTTATGAAAATAAGCTGGAAGTCAGGGATTGGGAAAGATAAACTACAGTAATCATGAAATGCAACAAAGAGAATAAACAGAATGAAGAAAAATGTTACCGATTGTTGAGGGACAGGAAACACATTAGAAGGGGGAAATTGCCTGTTTAAAAGATTCTTCGTGCCTGAAGTCCATGTTACAAAGGAAAAACAAATATATGAAGAACTATAATACATGTTCTGTGCTGTAGTATCTGAGGGCCATGTTTTAATATTTCAGGGAGGTGGCAGCTCTGCCCAGAAGTACCTGGACAAGTTCATGAAAGCCATTGAGTCATACTTCCACCCCGCCAACTTTGGACGTTGGTTGGTGAAGCTCAAGGATGTGCTATGCAAACTGCCATTTTATTTCGTCCAGCGACTGCACACGTTAGTAGATCACAGTCACCCACTGCTGTGTGTCGGCACTTTTTTCTCTTCTTCCTTTCCTGTCATTTTTGTTTTCAATTTATTTCTTTTTTCTCTTAGTACCTGTTTGCTTGGTCACTTTGATCACGTTTTTGTCTTTATTTGCTACTCCATCACTTTGAACCATGTCCAAGTATTAGTTAT